AAAAAACCATATACTTAAGAGTAAAAATCATAAGCCAACAATAGCAACTGGCAACACGAGACGATGTGATGATGAATATATGCGAGTGGAGGTTCCCTTGTCGTCTTTTGACCGCGACCCGTGTTCGCTTTTGGACACCACTGCGGCAGGAGTGGCTACACGTCTTGTTTCTTGGAAACATTGATTTTTTTTGTTTTTTAATATTTTTTTTTTTTAGGTTCTGCCGAAAACAAATTATTATTATTGTTATTATTATTTTTATTACGTGTGTAGTACGTACACTGTGGTAAAACAATAAAATCGTGGGTAAAAGTTACGATTTTTTTAAAAAAATTTTGTCTCACCGTGTATAGCGCGCACTATTATTGTTATTTGTGCGCGCGTGTGTCTAACGCACATAAACAGGAAGTCTAAAAAACGATACAAAAACCATCGGGAGAAAAGTATATATTCAACTATATAGTATTATGTATTAAATATAATGAATAATGTGTTATAATAATACAGGCACTATATTCGTTAGTATAAGCACTAATAGTAGACGACACAACACCGCTGATCTGACGATCTGGACAATATTTTGTGAGCGTGATATTTGTTTCTTTGGTTTTATTTTTAAAAATTCGTTGGGGAAAAATCATACGGAAGAAAATTAGATAGATATATATAGATATCATTATATAGATAGATATCATTATATCAAAGAAAAACTAACAGACTTTTTTCTTCACTTATTTAGTTTTTATTAGGTTGTGAAAGTTGCATAATACCAAAGTTTTTCAACAGTTATTTTTCCTATATTTTTATATAATAACTTATAAATAGGTGGACAATTCGATATTTTCTAAGTGAACCATCAAACAAAAAATGTATGCTCGAAAAGAAAATATTAATTATTGCAACCTGAATTCCTGTCGTAGTATTGAATAATATTAATTCAAATGAAAAACAAGTAATTCCAATATTAAACTTTTTTACTTTTAAAAAACAATTACCTATCTGTTAATTTATTTTTAGGTATAAAGTTTAAAATAAAATTGTGCCCAGGAAATGAAGTGTTAAGCAGTTCAAAGTATAAATTATTTAATAGGTAATAATAATATATTTTTAAATTACATTTTTATATGCATTTTAAAATTTAAATACACTATTAAATTATATATTATAAAAGTATTTTTATCGAAAAATTAACGAACATTTAATCGTTTCGAATACTAAAATCTAAAAAATGACTCAAAAGCCTAAACAATTTTATGTCCAACCGGCAACCTGTTAATAAAAATATAAATGTACCTATTATTTTAATTTAAGGATATAAATATATTATTGAAAATCGATTATTGAAACGAAATGTAATTTTTAAAGGTTATACGGTAAAATATACTTCATGAATTATTTTTATAAAAATTTGTTGATTGCAAATGAAATGAATACCTAGTGATTTATTTTTCAGACATTAATATTTATTACTTATTAGCTAAGTAAATACAATTATTCACTAATCAATAATAATCAGAAATGTATTTAACAGAAAACTTAATTTCTTTGTAATTAATTACAGAGTGAATTGAAAATTATAAAATAAAAAGCACGCAGATAACTTCAATTCCAATTGGCAATTTCGAATGTTCATTTTATTCTTTTCCAATTGATTTCCATCAATCTTTTAGAACCGGTCAAATATAATTTTAATGTGAATATTATTTATCATTTTAAAATGCCAATATTATGCTTATACGGAACAACTAACTTATTATTATAAGCTTTATGTTATATTATAATATCTAGACTTATATTATAATGTCGTTCCACCATCAAAATTTCATTTCGCATTAACGCCTGCGGTGCAGTACCCATATAAAGAAGCTAGAGTTTTATGTTTTTATTGGTTGTTGTGTTGGTGGTAGCATATGGGGGCATTAATCGAACCTTGTTTTTTATTAATATTAATTTATTCGTTCACACGTTTCTTCAACAATCGACAGATGAAAAACACACGACATCACGTGTGGTTCCCAGATATAAGTCAGGTGAAAGTCAGAAAATCTTKGTTGGCAATTGGCCGAGTTTGTTCAATGATTTGGTAAATATTTGTCATGACAAAATAAATCAGAACGAAATTTGCTTTAAACGTGAAACAGCAATTGATGATTTCCGTTGTAACTTCCAATGAAACATTATCCCTCTGGTAAGCGCATGTGTTCTACCCGAAATCAGACACGAATCAATGGTTTCCTGCCCTTCATCATTTATATACATATATACATTCATTGGTCGTTCCCATTAACAATATATAATATTATATCATCGAAAATTTACCATCTTTTATTATTACATTTATTTATTAAAAACATATTTAAGTTAAAATGCTTTGTATTTTAAATAAAACATACTGGTATAAATACTTTTATCCTAAATATTAATAGTATGAACTATCACATTTGGTTTTTATACATTTTTAGCTTAAAAACGATTATCATATTAATATAAAATATTCCCAGAAAATGAATAACGTTGCTTTTTATATGATATTAATTGTCTATCATAGCATTTATCTTAAATGCTCAATATTATAAATCCTTTTTAATTTAAACTTCTTCGTTTAGTTAATTAAATTTTAAATTTGATATAAAAATTAGTAGTAACTGTTCAATCTTAAAAGAAAAATAATTAAATAATTACATTTTATTATTTTTTAATTATTATGTCTCGCCACATCTGTATAAAAAAATGATAAGTGTTTTTTTTTAATTACTTAARAGAGTTAAGACGTTTAACAATTATACAGACATCTTTATTGAAGAATTGAATATCTGCAGTCCCGCGGGTTTTTAATTCCACGTTTTTTAAATTTTAGTTTGATAAACTATGTATCTTACCTACATCCATAACTATAGTGTATATTATATTTTATTTACTCACAGACTATGTAAAAATATTTAACTATTTCAACGAATACTTCAAAACGATATGGTTTGAGTTAGTTTTACGCACAACGCATTTTGTATTTAATTTAAAAATATTTTTGTTTTTGAAAAAAGCAAATTCTTAAAATTACAGTCCCACCTCTTTAGTCTTTCCTGTGATCAGATCACTGTTATTATGTAATTAGCCGAGAATCCGAACAGACAGTTATTTTTTTCCAGGAGGGTATAAAAAAAATAACAATAATAATTATTAAATATTGTATATTACTATATTATATATAGTGCCTATATACAATATCTAATATTATATAATATTATATACGCATATAAATATGTATAGCCTGTATAGGTATAGGTATATAAACACTCACATAATGTGAAGGGTGTTTCGTACATTTCCCATCCCCTCCACTACCGTTCACGGCGATTCAGTAATGATGACTACGAAACCGACCGACCTTGAAACTACAGGGCGCACGCACACAAACACACAGATTTATACCCCCTCACTTCACCGCTGTCCTCGAAAACAACCCTCTACGCTTCAACGTCTTCGGTTCACACACGCACACGCACATGTGTACAATATAATGTTGTCGGACGGCCAAGCCTCTAGATTCCATCATACCGCTCGCCGCGCACAGTTCCAGACAAAACCATCGCCAAACTGGCGCCTCTCGAAAACGCGTATTATAATGGTGTACATCTTCTCTGTACGCGTATACCAGTCGGCGTAAAATATTGGCCATGCTAGTGATCCGCCTACCTGTTATACACGTTATGACGGGGCAAGGGAGATTTTTAAATTAAACGAAAGCCAAAAAATATATAATAATAATAATAATAATAATAACCATTATAATATGTTTTATTGTGTGTTGTGTTGTACAAGAGAATCTGCCAGATGAATTCTGGATGTAGCATAATATATAGTATAGTATATTATATACTATAATAAGTAAAAAAGAAAAAACGATTTATCAATTTAAAAATACTATAAATAATCATAATAATTTAACGCATATGATGTACACGATTGTGTGTGTTCATGCCGAATTTTCCCACACGGTATAAGACTGGCAGTGTTCCTTCTAAACCAAGTCAATACTAGCTATTGTTTACGAAATTTTCTAAACAACTTAATGATTTGTTTTTACATAGGTTAGGTTATAACTATATGTCGCTTGTGCGCCGTATGCGTTTCAGTCGAGTCATATTTCATTTTAAACGCTGATATATTTCGTTTAAAAACGTTAATTACTATTAAAAAATATAATTAATAGAGCATCTCACCCAGCTTGAGGCCATAGTAATACTTATAAGTTTTTTTTCCCGATAAGTTGATGCCTAGCCATAAATTTAGTCATTCTTACATCTTTGTTTTTGCTTACGATTCTTACCTCTTGCGGTGTTTGGCCTAGTTCAACAATTTTAGGCGACCCTTCATTACAACCTGTTTTTTCGAGTGCTACAGTGGTGGTGGCCTTCGGAGACTTGAACGCCACCACGTGCGGCAGAATACTTTACACAAGAAGACTGTACACTAACAGCGATTCTAGGGTGGGGGTTGATATAACAAATATAACACGACCTCACACAACAAGCATTTAGTTGGATACACCCAAGGTTGCCAACCTCACATCTGAACCGGTACACTTGCTGAGTGTCGCATATGTGGGTCGTCCAAACTCTAACCGGTTATAATAATCTGCATATTATATATTGTTCATAATATATGTGTATAATGTGTAGACGCATTAGTATAAGCGTGTTATATAATGTTGAGTATACGATGAAATGACCTCAACGGAGATTAATTGAAAAACGGTCGACAACTTTGTTCTTTTTTCCTTTTCTCTAACCCCACGTTGAATACTGCCTTGAATAGAATTCATAAATCACTCGCTAGGGATAGGTATACCCTGGTTGCAATGTTGCTGGGTCAGCTAATGAGCGCCGAGTAAGCATAAAACTTACAAAAGCCGTTGGTCACTCAGCCCTTTTCAATAAAATTAAAACACAAAAAAACCGACCGACCACGTTTATTAATAAGGACACGACTTAATCGCTGTTTCTTATTATATATAATCATTATTTTTACAACACGCACATTTACCATCTCAAGCTTAATTTCAATTTATTAGGATCAGGCACAATGCATTTGTGGGTTGTTAATTTGCAGGCAACAGCTGACTTCTTTACGGCAGGTTTGTATTGAAAGTTTTCGGGAAGTTCCAAAACCACAGTCCTGTACGAAGTCAACGGCACTCTCTCAGTACAAGTTACATTGCCTATGCCCAAAACAGAACATTAAACATTATTAATAATCTCAATATATTACGTTTATAGAAAAAATAAATATATTAACGGATTTTGCTGGTTGGTTGGTCAAGTTGAGGCCGAGAACTCATCAGTATCGTCATTAGAGGGTTGATCTGAGCAGGTTTTTGGATTTTCATCGTCCCTTTGTCCGGGCACCTGCAAAATACGAATAAAATTAATGTATTACCGTCAACGACGTTTCAGCAGGTGTAGGGAGAGGAAATTGACAAAAAATTCAATACTTCTTTAAATAATGAGTGTTCTTTGATAAAAAAATAAGCAATTAGTACAGTTTAAATTTAACTATTTTTCAGGCAACTTATACATGTTTGAATAAACAGTGATCGCGAGCGAATTAACCAAAGAAAAGATTACTACCATATAGTATGTTGGTTCTATACACAATTTCAATAATAAACCATAAAAACATTATTATAACAATTATTACATAATTAATTTAATAATTCATTAGAATTCCTAAACTTATATAACAATATCACTGAATATTGCTATTTGTTATAATTAATAAGCAATTTATTTTTCTCATTACAAAGAATGTTCTTCTTTGTTTTATATAGTATATCAAAAGAATCCTAAGGTTATATTATTTTATTTATTTAAGAATATTACTCATTATTATTTATTGTGTAATATTTTACGATATTTCATTTTATATTCATGATGTTATTATTTTTCATTACCTCTTTGTATGTTTCGATATTGGGAAATTCAATATTTTTAAATTTTTTAAATCAATTTTTTTACAAATTAATTGAATATACTCTAGATGAATTGTACATAAGTCATCCATAAATGTACTTAATTGCATTTTCATCTTATAGTGGCTTTGAACACACATCAACAATATCACTATAATACAGTTCTAGCCTAACCTATCCAAATTGTCAATAATTAATAAATTATTTCCAATCAAAAGGCAAAGGTTGGTATATACATAGTTTAGGTGTAAACAATTTGTCTTTTATTCTAGAAATAGTGTTAGCATTGGAAATATTAAAAATTATATAATGCAGTATATTATGTTTTCAGAAACTTGTTCATGTTTAATGAAAACAGCTTATATATCAAGTAATAATTGATCAATGAGTAGTTATAAAATACAATTATTTTACCTCTTCACGTTAGATTATGTGCAAATTTTGACAAAATCTCGAAAATTTCTTTCTTGTAGTATATATTAGTACGTCATCTATCTGTTCAGTTTTTTTATATACACACACAAGCAATTTATTCAATTCGAAAGTCTATTAGGTATATAACTTTTGTATTAATTAATTGAATTTCAACTTAATTAATTATTCCTAAATTATACACAATAAAATGAACAATTTTACAATTTATAAAAACAAATTTGCTTTCATATTTTCAAAAATGTTTTTTTTTCACAAAAAGTATAAATTATACTATTATTTAAGAAATATAAAAATGCACAATAAAAGTATATGTATAACAATTAATAATTTATGGATCATTATTCAAGTTATACTACAATTTTGTATCAGATACCTAGTATTATAATTTTAAGAAACATTTATTTAATTTTAATTTTTGTAGCCAATAATCAATATTAAAGCACAGGTAATATCAAAAAAAAAAACATGAACTTGAATAAGTAATTAATTTATCGATAGGGATAAAAAATACTAAACAAAATATCTAAGCTACTCAAATGGAAACAAATATCTAACACTATATTTAATTCTTATTCTTCCGAAGTAATCATAATACTGAATACAAGATATAAGTTGCTACAAATAGATAGACAGCGTATTCAAAATATATTTCACAAGTTCTTCACTAAAGTTATTTGAGCTGTTATTTAGTTTCATACAAATCATTTTTTTTTTATTATTATTAATTGTTTGAGCCGTTTGAGGCATCAACTGCATCGTTATTAGCCAGCGTTACATATTTAATTTACATTAATTTCTACTTATTACCCATATTTACGGATTTACATTTTAATCCAAGTTATACGAAAAATTTTTATTTTTTGGTATATCAATATTTTAAGAAAAATCATAAAATTTATCCCTTAAGTAGGTAGTACAAAAAAATCTCTAGAATTTTAAAATATAGACATATAGTTTTTAAGGAGATATATTATGTAACTTCGCCATAATTTTGAATAAATGTATTATTTATGAAAAAAGTGAGGGAGTCTATTTAGTGAATCAACCTTTACAATTTAATATTATTTTTATCTACAATATTTCTAATAGAAAATCAATTTCTTATAACAATACAATTGTGAAGTAAAACATTCTTAGAAATATGCTGACAGATAGTCTTTGCTTAGAATCGTTTTTCAAATACCAAAAATGATTTATCAATACATTTTAAATTCATGTAGGTCGTAAAGAATACTCCAGATCTACCTGCTATTATGCAGCTGACCGAATTCCCTGATTTTTTTTTTTAACTTTTTGCTATTAGTTATTCCAAAGTCCAATTCATATCTTAAAATTCCGAATTTTTACCTTGAATATATTTTTATTATATAGCTATTTAAGCATTTAAAATACAAGAAAACTAGATTTATCTTCACTTTTGAAAAATTATAACAATGAGTTTTATTCAAGTAAATTAAATGATTGTTAATTAAATACATTATTTTAGTTGTTAAATAAATTAAAAATGATAAATAGCAATTCATTATAAATATAATTAATCATTATTAAAAATTAGACTTACTAGGGTAAATCTTAATCTTATCTTTTTTTATCAAGAAAATCTAATCATTTACGATAGGAGACATATAAAGGTAACTTTATTATATATTTAAATTGTTTTATAATTAAAATACGATTTACGAAGCTTGGTTATTTTTTTTAAAGAACTTAAATTCATCTTGGTGGTGCAACAAATTTTGTTACAAATCTTGAATTTAATTATGATTTTGTGTAATATCTTTCTAATAACTTAATGGCATAAAAACACAATTAAAAGACGGGGAAATACATTTTTGAATTTATAAATATAACATCATTAAAATATAAATAAAAATATATTATTATAACAAGAGTGAAGTCCATGTATATTTTTTAAATAACAAAATTAAAATTAATTAATTTTATATACATTTTCTAACACATAAAAACGTTACTGATAAAATACAAGAACATAAAATAGATGATAACTGTATGTACGTGCTTAACGAATTTACATTTGTATAAATTATGAACATTTCGTGAGCCGCGTAATTGACTGGATTAATGCAATTTTGCGATTAAGGATATATATATTAATAAAAGTTTCTCTAATATAGCCACTAATTAACAAATGATAATTTATAAAAAAATAAATATTTTTATGAGTATAGCTATGTTATGAAATATAATTAGTAATTTTACAAATTTTAACAAATATTTTGTTAATTATTGTCAAAACATCACCTACAGAAATCATATCGTAACTATTAAATTCTTATCTTAAAAATATATGATTTTTTATAAATTATACAATTAAAAAATGTTATTGTGTTATTGCAGATGATCAGATATCCTCAMTAAAATAAGCTACAAAATGCATATACTTACCACAGTACCACGTGGCACATACCTAACTCATTTTTTTTATTATTATTATTTATAAAGTTTTCCTGACAAAGTCATCTAAACTTAGGTATAATGTACACAATTTTTAGCTATTTATAAAAACGATAATAACATAATATGTAGTAAATAACTACCTAGGTTAACAAATTAGCGATATACATTAATAGATTTAAGATAGTGTTACAAGTAATGAAAGATCTACAATAGAATTTTCATTGAAGATAATCTAATTTAGAACGTCATGAGGACGACCACACTTTAGTCTTCGATTGATGGGGCCGAGACATTTAACCAGAAATGTTAGGACCATTTGCTTTGCGTAAATAACCGAAGAAGCTTGCCGATAGATCTTTTATATAGTTCTTAATTGTAGGTAAATTGAAGTCGGTGTGCAGCGCATCGTTTCGAACAAACCATGGGGCATTTGAAATCACACGGAGGACTCTGGATTGAAGTACTTTGATTTTATTTATGTGGGTTGAAGCACATTGACCCCAGACAGGGACAGCGTATAGTAGTATAGAACGAATGATTTGTTTGCATAGAAGTAATGAACACTTCCAGCCAGGGGTGGATTTAGGTATGTGGGGGCCCCTGGGCGGAATGCATTGTGGGGGCCCCTTACACATAAATAAGAAAATATATTTTTTTACTTATTAAATAACATTTATTATCATATTTAGTATACTACTATAGTAGTAACAATTTAACTACTTATTTAATAATAAATAATTATAAAAACAATCAAATCAAGTATAACTATAATATAAGTAATATCATCATAATATTAGGTGTAAGTAATTAAATAAAGAATAATGAAAATAATAATGTCAGGTAATTAAAATTAAATGCCTGGAACTTTTTTTTAATTTCATTTGTACAAACTTATCAATAATGTTTTGAAAATCAACACCGATTACGGATGGCATAAAAACCTATTTTATCTAGATTCTTAGACACCATTCATGTCAACAAACGCGAATACATTTATTATTATCGTTAGTAAAATTACATTTTTTTAATGTCAAAATTATGTTCAATTTTATTTAATTACATATGTGTAAATATGAGTATTTAATATATAAATAAAATATTTTTTCTGTATCTTAATTTAAATATCATAACATTGGGGGGCCCTGCATTTGTGGGGGCCCTTGGGCTGCAGCTCACTCAGCCCTCCCCTAAATCCGGCCCTGCTTCCAGCTCAATGATATTTACCGATTTATTATAATGGGTATACAATTTTTAATCGTTGGTATTCTTGTTGTATTTTGGAGGATATAATATGTGGATTCTAGATAAGTTTTTTATCCAAAATAACTCCAAGATATTTTATGTTATGAGACCATGGTATATTTTGTCCGATGATTTTTAAGAAATTAAAATTAGCGAGTCTACGAAATGTGAAAATAACTTCTGTGCTTATAGTCGGATTGAGAATGATTTTCCATTTTTCGCCCATTTTTGTATTTTGTCAAGATGATTTTGGAACATAACTCATTAAATTGCTTAGAGATTTTATTTTTCTTTCATTTACTTACTAGTCTACACTACATAAGTTAAGACGATTCTTTGTATATTACAAAAGTTTTAACTTCGTATATATTTTATATATATTATAGAATTGTAAAAGTTATATCTTTACAAACTGTTTTGACTTGGATACAAATATCTAGTTTTATAAAATTACATATTTCAGTTATTGATAATATTTTTTTACTGTTTGAACAGAATCAAGGCACAACACAAACTCTTAATTTTAAAATCGTAACCCTTTTCCGACAGTAATTTTTTATTCAGTTTTTATTTGTTTCATTTATTATAACGATGCGTCATTATTAAAATATATAAACGGGTGGTTTATGAGTTACGTAAAATAATTTACATAGAATGTTTTTTTGCTTAATTTTTACGATATTCAGGATATAAATTATTTAAATATTTAAATAAAAAAATTAATTTTATCTTATTTCCAAGCGTAATTTGAAATGGTTGATATTCAAACTTTATAAGATATTCAGTTGGCAAAAACTAAACTTTTTATTTATTAAAATCAGCATCTCTTATTTTTTATATAGAAATTGAAATAAATTGCTCTTGGTTCTTTTGTTTAAAATTGATAATTAATTTGGAAAAAAATGTTTACTGCTACTCTTCTTACGTTGATATGTCCTTGAACATTTGAATAGAATCTTCATTATAGATCCATATTATAAAGTGTATAATAATTTATATAAGAAAAAATAATACGTTTCTTCATTATTATATGTAATAGTTTTATTTTTAAAATTTATAAAACTTAGTTGATTTTTCTAAAATTAATAAGATTTGAACGTAGTAGATGAACGTATTCTATTATACATAATTGTGTTGTACTTTAATTTTGAATAAGAAATCATAAAAATGTATCATGATGCACTTCCTAAAGAATTGAACGTTAAAAATAATACTATTTAGATTTAATTGTAAAATTCATTGGTAAATATTTTTTTTTTTTAAGAAGGTGCTAATTATATTAATTTTGATGCTGACTTACCTTGTTTTTCCTTTAGTCTTCCAATTATACGTTTCTTTACGGATGATTTTTTTTTCGTGACATTTAATTTTTGGTGTTTTGCGACGGATTCTCCGATCCTCCAAGTCCATTCTGTTGACCCGTATCTCTGGTAACCACGACCTATTTTCTCTATTCAGCTTGGATGACGATTTAACCTCCTATTGCAGGCCACTAATTAATTATTTATACTGTAACCAAATGAAAAGATAAAATTGTTACATTTATTTTAATATTAATAAAAATCCTAAAATTTAATCACAATCACGATATTTTTAGGACGCTCAAAATAACTTATTCAGTGTCTAATGTTATATTAATCGGGAACAATCGTATAATTGCCAAAGTATCAAACTACGGGCGTGTATGTTTAAATACGTGTCGGTGAATAATGACAGGTGCCTGAATTTATAATAATAATGAATAACCGTGTCGGATTAATGTTTCAGAGCCGGTAACAGGGTGGTACGCCAGGTCAAGCGATGTTACGTTACATGTCGAGTAGATCGAAGAAGTTTTTTTCATATTTACATTTCTACTTTTCTACCCTTAAGGTACCCTGTAATTGGTTATTATCTAATAATAATATTAGAAATAGAATTATAGCGGGTATTTTAAATATTTTTTTTCATTGTTATTTTTACACTACAGTTTAGTACTTTTGTCCTTACACACATCTTGTACATAATATTGAAATAGTGTTGAAATTTACACAGCGACACGCCCTTATCGAAAAAATAGACCCTCGCAAAAAGGATCGTTGGAAATGTACAAAAAAAAAAGGAAAACAAATCTTAGTCAAATCGCAAAAAAGTCTTGCGACTGTTTTTGTTTGACTTTAAACTTTATACTATATACACCAACAAACATTGATAAAAATTCATAAAAAAAACAGACGTTATTAAAATATAAAACAGAAGGGGAAAATAGTTCAATGCCACCCTTCATAAAATTAATAACTATCTCAAATATTGGATAATAAAATGGGGCCATCATGGAGATGCATTTAAGATACATTATTATTTATTTTCTCAATTAAACTCTATGGAGTATGCGTGTTACTTATTATTGTACATTAGGTAGTTTACATAAATTATTTAGGCTTATAATAGGTAGACAACTTTTCATAAAACAATTTAACCTTTTATAATATTATAAAAATATAAGATTATTCTAAGTTAACAACAACAATTTTGACATGTACATAATTATAAGACACAAAATGTTCAAAAATTTACATATTTATTTTGTATATTAAAATTAACAAAATTTTTTTTCTCTTTCTTTCTAATTCTATAAATTAATCCAGTGCTAATGACCCATAGTTGTCGAAGCGGAAATTCTTTGTAAATTTCAAGACCAATAAAAAAAAAAAAATATAAGATTCTTTACTAACAGAAAATTGAAATAGATATTTGATCACGTTTATCGTATAAGATTGTCATACTAGTAAGTTATAACTTATGCATTTTCTTGATAATTAATTCCTAGTAGTTACATTTATTGATTATCGAATTTATAATTTAGTATAGAGATAATAATTTTCAATCAAACAAATTTATCAGGATAAACTTCCAAGTCAAATTAGATCATAAATCTTATTACCATAAATTTTAAGAATAAAATAATCTATTAATATTTATTTATTTTTTATTTTTATTTTTTAAACATCAACTACACAGGTTATTAGCTATTAATATTGTTTAATAATAAGTATAACATTTTTTAAAATTTAAATGAATAACTATAAAATGCTTCAAATCGATTTATATAGGTACCTAGATTTTTTTAATATGAATTTTATTTAACGCATGAAATAAAATATTAAGTTTTTTATTTATTTTATTAAGTGAGTAAATTTAGTATTAAGTATATTCTAATTTATTTTATATTACAAGTATTAATACAATTTAAATTGTTTTAACATATAAGATTAATTAATTTTAGTCTTTAAGATCACATAAAAATAATTTGTAAAAAATAAGCTCAAATAATTATAATAAAATTACTTTGTACTAATTTGCAGACTGTGGTTATGCACACTTATGTGATATTCTACTTCAATACCTATAATATATAGTGTACCTACTCTTATTATAAATAGATTTTAATTCTAAATAATTATTACTAAAAATAATATTTGTTTTCAACTGTCATTGTATATTATACTTTCTAGTTATGTTTTTAGTATACCGAATTATCCCAATTTTATATAATTTGAATACAATACCAACTTACTATATTTTCTCTAAATTCTATATATCAGTTTATAAACTCTTTAAATCTTTTGAATATATATATGACATATTAGTCATAATAAATTGAAGGATAATAATATAATAATATGGTGATAATTTACATAAAGCTGGCAACGAATGTCTTATTCAAATACATATAGTCATATTATACATATAGGTAAGGTATCTAAAAGGCTAAAAGATTAAAATGTTCAACGTCAATGATCAAATTTTATAGGTAAGCAACGATTGCGCTTGTAGAATTTTAAACTTCAAATTATATAACACAATCATCCACTAATGATAAATCACGAAATGTAGGATTTGTGTATAAGATTCAATATAATTTGCGTATCATTGTAAAATATTAAAACATTTAAAACTCAGTCTTATTGCTCAGTGTACAATCTTTGATCTCTACAAAACCTTGCAATAGATTGACATTATTATAAATTATGCATACTAAATTTATGTTAAAAATTATTTGAAAAAAAAACTTACACCATTTTTTAATTTTCTTATACAACTTAATCAAAGCTTGTGAAATCAACTACGTAGTTATAGGTACATTTTATGAAAAATATATGCTCGGAGTAGTTGCATACAATTATAAATTAATTACAATTCTTATTTTGTTTTGGTAATAATATGTTTTGTAAACAAATTAATCAAATACTGTGGGTGGATAGGAGCCTGCGAGTACACACATTATACCAGTATATAGTAGGTACCTAGTACCTACACAACATTACAGCGACAGTTCTAGAATTACAAGMGAACCGACCCGTGGTGTCTCGTTAATTAGTCGTGGTGTACAATTATTCACAAGTCAAATTTGTTACAAAAAAAATGGTCGTGAAAATGTTATTTTATTTTTATACAATAAATGTGCGATACTGTTGATTGAGATGGCCAGGCGAATTTAGCATAGAATATCAGACAGAATTTCTCAGCATGAAAGAAAAGTTAATTTTTTCATCTCAGAAGTCAGAGTTATACTTTATTCTAATAACATTTTTTAATTGTTTGGTTTTTTTTTTTTAAGTTCTTAATAATATACATAACTAAATCTAACATTTGTTAGACCTATAGAACCTATCTAGGATTTTGGCACTTTCGTGCTATGTGACTTTTTTTCCTTATCTCATTTTTGCACTTATATCATTCACCGAAAATGTCCTAAAAAAATATATTATATAATATAAATAAATTATCAAATATTTTCACAAATAGACTATCACATAATATGAAAAATACAGATGTTTTTCTGAAATATTTTTCTCTGTGACATAATATATAATATAATTATATTATTTTATTATTTTATTATCATAACAATTTTAATTTGTACATAAAGCCTACAATAGAGTAATACTATTATTGCAATGTGTACTTTAAAGGTCTTTTAGAGACATCAAAGAAGATAATAATGATGTCTGCTAATTTGATTCTTCTTTTCTCCTAGGTCTAACCACTTTAAATCGATAAAAAAGAAAAAACCAATAATCATATTTTAGTACTATCACCATTCACCATACATAAAATCCATCACAACCATAATACTGCCGGAATGTACTTAAAATTGAAGGGATGACGAGATAAATTGTTATTTAATATTATTAGGTAGCTTATATAAATTAACTATATATTTTAGATGTTATTATAAACATAAATCTGGATATGTTTTATGTAAATATTATCGAGATTATCTACAATACAATAACTTATTTTTGCTGTCTCTATAGTATTGCCTGATGTTCTTACTTATTTTGTTGCGTATAAAAACCTTAGGCGATGTGTTTGCGATAACAGAATTAATAAAAATATGTTTTAATAAAATAAACCTATGTTTATAAAGTTTACCGAGAAAATTAACTGTTTTAAAATCAATGGATATATAAATGTTTTGATAAAATTGATTAATAATGAAATAAAAACAATTCCTGTTAAATTCCAACATCAAATGAAGTAGTTATCATAATATTTTAGTTCCATATAACGAAAAAAATGATTATAAAGTAATGTGGTTAATAAAAGTAACAGTGGATCGAACAAATTGATGACATAATAATTAATGTGGAACGTAATTTTTAAGCTACCAAATAATTTAAGATCTAAATTTTAATTAAATTTTATATTTTAATAAATACCAAAACACCAATTGCTGAGACACTTAAAGTATAAAAAATTTCAGGTTAAGAACAACAAACACTGCAGTCCACCTATAATCTATTAATATATAATTAATGAAAAGTAGMAAAAATGCGAACAAATGTTTAAATAATGTAAAGATAGTTTATAATCAATTATTAAATTGTGAACAAATATAACGGTCAAACGTTCAATAATGGTAATTATTCATTGAGATAAAGTAAGAGAGTAGCGTTGTTAAACTTAAAAGAGTGAAACTAAGAAGATGATTTTTACTAAGAAAGTAGTTTAAGATAGCATAAAAATTATGACATGAAATAGAATACTCAATTATGTTTTAATTGAAAACATATGATATACATTTACTTTAAAATATTACTTTAGTAATATCCTCAAAAATCCAAATCCATGAGGTTTTAAATTCAAAAATATGTGTCTATAATAAATCTTCCTATAAGGTGAATTTTTTCACAGTGTTTAAACGAAATAAAATACATGGTATAAAATTAAAAAAAGGTATTAAATTATATGATTTAGGTAACTAATATGTTTTTATAATACTATTACACGTTATTTGTTGGATCATTAATAAAAACAATCATTTAAAAATATTATAGAAAGAATAACTTTAAGCTTTAAAGTATAAATGTACCACCAAATACCGCGACAGTTAAAATTGATTATACTGTTGTACTGTTTAATAGGTTAATAAATTTAAAATATTCAATACAATGTTTTACTAAATGTTCACT